GTGGCCTTGAAAGAAGGGTCTTTACGTGCAGAGATGGAAAAGGGAGAAGCGTGGAACAGGCACGTCGCAGATCGGCATCTGAGAAAGAGCAAACAATCCGCAACAGTCTTTTCTTTCCTTTTCTTCTTTTCCTTCTTCTCGTGCAGCGTTGAGAGGTGCCGCTGTGGGATTGGGCTTGGTGCTGAGAGCATTTTCGGAGCGCAGTATGTTCGAATGAACCATCGCAAGTGCTTGCGCATTCGAATTACAGGGCGTTTTCGCTCATTGGAATACACATAGCTTTGACGGGACCTCAGCATGAGTTCAAATTACCCGAAGGTTCGAATTAATGAGATTCGACTGAGTTTATTTTCCGTGGCACGCGTGGTCGTGTAGTTGTACGTTGGGCCGCAAGGCGGTTTCCTTTTTGCATGCTTATAGGTGTGTGCCCATCTGAGCATACATTGCCACAAACTGTTATAATTGATATAATGAAATAATGGACATAACGAAATAATTGTGGCTCCCCTTCAACTTCGTTATAACGAGGTTTGAGTGTATCCCAAAACAACAACGCTGGTGACTTGTATCTACAGCAAGAAGCAAAAAAACGATATTTAAGATACTGCCGCCTGGCCGTTCACCGCGATTGCCCTGCGAGTGGCCGTGGAGTCATCATACGTCTAAATGCTACGAGTATTTTGAAAGCACGTGGGCTGTGGGCACACACCAATAATATTCTAGGTGTGAAAAAAATGGCAGCTTACCGCGACAGTTATGAATAAAGACCACTCTAGGCACGAAAAAAGAATGTTTTAGGGGCCTATAATAAGCCCTAGAAAACTGCTATTTAGGCATAAATAGGCGTTAAAAACTATCGTTAGGCATATATAGGCACAATTCATAATTACTTCAGTAGCTATGCACAGGACAAATATTCAACTTCTAACAAACACAGCAGGCAAATTCTGTGCTTTAGGAAAGCTAAATTTACATTTCTCAAGAAAAGGAATAGCAAGAAGCACAATCATTTGAACAGATTTAGGTGAAAGCTGAGGTAATTTGACATTGTGGGAAGGGCTATGAAAACAGTGACAAACCAGTGTCATCTCAAGGTTTTCGGCCTTGAATTGTGCTTGCTTCTATTCAGTATTTGCTTTTATGCGAAAAATAATGCTCCATGTCCACTGAAGTTAGTGAAGTGGATTTGTGGCCTAGCGCTTTCAATGCTCTAATTGCATCTAGAATATTTGAATGAGCACCACTCGAAACATTAGACACTTGCTTTAGCACGGCAACCTTATCAGCCGCTGGTCTATTGCGGACGATGCGAACCTCTTGTGCACGGCCGAAAAAAAAAAAGGGGGGTATTCTTAAGCTTTTCCTTTAAGCGTTGAACGCGATAGCACTCCTGTCCCTGATGCGTACTTCCACCACTTAGTGCATACTTTTATTGCATGATGTTACTCGATAAGTTTAAATTGTGGATTACTATACAGTATAATCGATAAAGTTGAAAGTGGCTTGTGTCAGGGAAGCTTTCACATATGGCTGCATCCTGTGTGATAGGTGCATACAAGTTGATACAAAAGTAACAAAATGAATCTGTGTGCCAGTGGAATTACCACAAAATACTGTTATTCGTGCAGATTCAGGGGTTATTTAAATAAATTGGCAGTTGCGTAACCAATTGGAAGCTTTATGCCTCTGCACGCTTCAGAGTGTACATCAAACTTAAAATATTGTTGACCTTTCTGATTTCTTCTCCTGGGTTTCTCACATGGACCGTTTCTCAATTGAAGTAGTAGTGCTGTGATCCTCTGGTCCATTGCCTGAGGTCATTTAACGGATTCTCTTTATTCCACATTGTGCGGCAGACTTCCGATAGCTGCCATTATGAAAAACATAAATGCCAGCAAAACTTATGTGTAGGCTGTAGTCGTCAGCGCTAGGCTATCTTAGTTTTGGCTGATTAGCGTACATTCTAGATACACTGGACTCTAGCCTCCCAAACGCAACCGCAGAGCTGCACTACTCTCAGACCTAATTTGATATGTGGGGTTTAACGTCCCAAAACCACTATATGATTATGAGAGACGCTGTAGTGGAGGGCTCCGGAAATTTAGACCACCTGGGGTTCTTTAACGTGCACCCAAATCTGAGCACACGGGCCTACAACATTTCCGCCTCCATCGGAAATGCAGCCGCCGCAGCCGGGATTCGAACCCGCGCCCTGCGGGTCAGCAGCCGAGTACCTTAGCCACTAGACCACCGCGGCGGGGCCTACTCTCAGACCTAGTGATGGGGATCTTCAAAGAGTGGTGGATACACTAACGTTAGCCTCTCCTCGCTTCGCTACAGTACACTCTAGCCACCGCTTCGCTACAGTACACTCTAGCCATGCTCACACAACCATGCTGCACTACTCTCGAACCAAGCGACGAAAATCTTTTAGGGGGGGCCTACTAGCGCTATAGGTGCTAGCCTCGCCTTTTCTCGCTGGTGTACAAGCCCCACTCACGTAAAAACGCGTTTAAAGTGTGTTGTTATCAGAGCTTTGGCAAATGTCACATGCGTCCGAGCGCACTGGCCGAGTCTAGAAATATGTTGGCTGTGGCAGTGCGTCGACTTATGATCTGTTCTCGCCTATATAACACAGTGTATGCGTGCGTTGACCCTATGCCGAACCATAATCGCATCTTACTAGTATACAGAAACATCAACGAAAAAAAAAAAAAACTTGCGTGCTATGCACGTGTTGTCATTAATATGGTCACACCAAGTGCTTCTTGTTTTCCTCTAATGAAGAGCTCATTTAAGCAAAACGCTTACTCGAGGAATGTGAAAAGGCATTTTTAGGCACTGAAAAGCTCATATAGGCACAATAAATATGTGATTAAAATGTTTCCCATCCCCTAGACCGTGTTTATATGTGAATAGGCTGGAAACGGACTTCAGGAAAAAAATAGCATTTTGCTTAAAGTTCTGGTCTTTAGTTATGAAGTAAGCACCTTGCATTACGCACACCAAACGCACGCATTTAGCCATTGGCACTGACAACAGGCAGCAAGGCCCTCGCTGACATGAGAAACGTGACCACTTTCGGGCATCTTTTCCCATTTATTTATGGTAACATCCCAATAGAATGTCTCCCTATCATATCTTTAAATCCCGCTTTGAGCACCATAACGTGCCGGCCACAGACGCTTGTGCCACCATAACTATCAAAACAATGAGGCGCTGCTGTCTGCTAAGGCTCTCAACGTTGCGCGCCCACCACACCATAATTGGCGCTGCGCACGGCTTTGAAGGCGCCCCATAGGTCTTAATCGGAGCGTACAGAAAATTTGTCAAATTGGAGTACACTCACATCTCATTATAACAAATTTGAATCTTACACAGAAATAAGCTTGTTATTTCTGAAAAATTATTATTCGGTAAAGCCTCATTATTTTCAACTCGGTTATATTGAAATTCTACCTAATTAGAAATATTTCTGTGCTCCTGTATTTTGCAATGTAACTCTTAAGGGATAATTTGAAGTGGTGGTCAGCACCAGTCCGATTAATTAGAAAATTTTGGGTGTCATGTGCCAATTGCCGATCCAAATTTCACCTCAAATCCGCAGAAACCATGGCCCTTAAGAGCCACAAGGCAATGCAAAGCAGCGATACTAGTAAGTGGCAGCTGAAGCATCCCAGCCACTTCCAGTGCAAAAAAAAGGGAGGGGAGGGGAACATTCTCGTGATCAACCGAACTGAGCGCCTGCGGAAACAAGTTGTGCTTCACTGCAATACAGTGATGACGCGTGGGCATGTTCGATTGTTTCTCGCAACGTCAGCTCGTCAGGATCGGTGGTCTAGTGGCTAAGGTACTCGGCTGCTGACCCGCAGGTCGCGAGATCGAGCCCCGGCTGCGGTGGCTGCATTTCTGATGAAGGTGGAAATGTAGGCCTGTGTGCTCAGATTTGGGTGCACGTTAAAGAACCCCAGGTGGTTGAAATTTCGGAGCCCTCCACTACGGCGCCTCTCATAATCATATGGTGGTTTTGGGACGTTAAACCCCACATATCAATCAGTCAATCATCGTCACGATTTACCCATTCTTTTCGAGATTGTGAAAAAATTTCATGAAGGACAGTTTGGCGGAATTCGTAATCTTTGTAAACCTTCAACTGCCGGTGCCTCCAGCAATTTGCGCACTTTCACTGTTGGTGAAGTTCTTGCCTGCAATGCCTGCTTCAAAAACTAATTGCAAAAGCTTTAATGATAATGTTTTCAAACCGAAACATATCGCAAATTTTCCTCACACTGGCCATTATCAAATTATTCTACCAGAAAAAATGGGCGAATGGTCACATCATGACGTGCTGATGCAGTGAGGAGCAGGAGACGTGCTGCCCGTGTGTCATTACTGTGTTGCAGTGACGTGCATCTTGTTTTCCGCAGTCGCGCATTGCAGTTCATTAAAACAGCGTTTTCTGTCCGTATTTTTCTTCTTTTTTTCTTTCTTTTCGGTGGCATCAGCAAGGTCCGTCGTTCCTCCATGTTTGCGGCAAAATAAGACCAGGTATTGGGCGAAACATAACCCTTGGAGCCGCAAAACAGCCGGCTCAGCAAACTATCAGCCCTGATTACTTCAAATATATACAAGTTCCTTGCATCCCACATGTTCTGTCAATTTGAAAACCTGCTTAATTCAAAGATTTCTCGTGGCCCCAGTGACTTCGCATTAACGGGCTTTAACTGTAAAGGTATATTCCTAATCCAATATCTATTGCAGTACTATTTTAAATTTACATCATTATAACCAATAATTTTTTATATACAGATTCCTTATATCGAGCTCTGAGTGTACTTATTGCTTGTTTGTGTTGTGTCTCACGGAAAACAACCAGCCATCGCCCAAACGAGACATCACATTGTGTATGCGTGTGCGCAGGTGTGCAAGTTATGACTGCCTCACTCGACACGGCATGATGTAAACAGTGACTTGATTGTGTGTTTTTTTTTTTTGCTCAGGAATATGACGAAGCACGGCATTTGTTTCTGGAGGAGAAAAATAAGCTGCGGGACGAAGAGAATAAGCTGAAGACGAAGGAGCAGGAGCTGGCTCCGCTCCAGAGTGCCGTAGAGAAGGTGTCACAGTGGCAGGCCAATATCGCGGCAGTGGAAAAGGAACTGGTAAGCGACCTGGTTATGTGCACATTGTGTCCGCGTGAATGTGCCTGTTGCATAAGCATTCGCAGGGTTCCCCTATGGGAGGAGGGGGGTGAACATTCATAGTAGCGGGCCCCCCCCCCCCTATCAAGTCAGTGTATGAGACTAGCTTGGGGCAATGATATATAAAAAAAGAAAGCAGCAGACTGAGAAAGATAATCAAAACGAAATGGCATTGCTAGTACACAATCAGCCTTGCCTAGCCTTGCCCAACGGCGCCGCTGCTAATGCTCACAATGGCAAAGGAGGCTTTTCACTTTAGCTGCCCATTGTTGTGCGACTTCCACAATTTTTTCTGCCAATGACCGGTATATAAGACAAGGGTCGACTATTCATCGCATTTATTACTATTATTATTATTTAAGGGGGCAGACTGGTCTTAGACATTTTTGTTTATTTCTTTAGTGATCTTGATCAAACTGTACAAGATTATGCAGTTTTTTTTCTGCTGATTTCAAGTATTTAATTAGTTTTTCTGTAACTCGTCTTGCTCTTAAGATAACTTATATTCACCCCCTATTGTCGAAGGCCACCATAGAAAAAGGAGTGCTTAATTAAAAGTGATAGTCAAAATATGCCAACATAGCCTAATGACTATAGAGTGAAAGTATGCAAGAGTTTTTTGTTTTTAGGCCTTTCTTGGTTATATTACAGCAAAATGAACTATTCATTTGCAAAAGCAGTTGAAATTGTTTTGCAATTTTGATGAGTATATTATTAAAAAGTCTTGTGCTCTAAATTCTGCTCCCATTCTTGCATTCTACACACATACAGGTCTCTATTGCAAAAAGAATTGTTGTTGTACCTGCCCTAGCTGCAGAGATATTGAGACCTCAAAATTGAACAGTCTTTAATTCACTTTTCTGAGAAAAATGGAAAAGCTGAAAATACACAGCTTCTTCAAAAAGCAACAATCATGGTGTGCATGCTTTGCAATCCTCATAAAGGTGCTCATAAATTCGTAGCAGAGCTTCTAACACAAATGCCGGCCAATTATAAAGAAGCCTCGAAGTCGGTTCCGCATTGTTTTGCAGGTTCTGCATGTTAACAGCACCAAAAATCTGGACAGTTAGAATGACATTAAAAGAAATTATCACTTCCTGGTGTGTGAAAGTTTGCAGAGAGAGAGAAAAATACTTGCATAAAACAAATATGTCAGTTTTAAAAATGATTTTTTCTGCCACTTTTTGGTCCCCAAAACCAGTCTGCCCCCTTAATTCGGCGTACATACTGGTTTTCACAGTATCCTGATACAGTAGAATCTCGATGATACGAATTTGAAGGAAGCACGCAAAATATTCATACCATCCGAAATTCGTATAAGTCAAAACCAAGTTAAAGCTGATTATAATGAGGGACAAGAACTTTATTGGGGTCAACTACTTCTTGCTGAAAATAGTCTATGATGTTCTTTTTGAACTTATCTGCTTTCACTGCCTCTCAATAAAGTGCCGAGGTTTCCTTACTCATGCTGCTGGCGCTACAAGGCGCGTTCAGATGTGGCATCAAAGGGAGTGAAAGTGGCAAAACTTACTGAAAATGCACTCGCTTCGGCGCTTTTAAGCGGCCGGAAAAACGTGCTGCGACATCGATATGAAAAACTCACTCCAAGAGAATTTACACTCGAGAATTCAAGAGAAAATGCCAGAGTGGCCGTGAAACCATGTCACTGCCCGTCGTAAATGGTCTGCCCCTCATATACATGCCACTACCGCCGCCGTTATCCCCGCTTGAGAATTTATTCCTGAGCAATGAAATACCTACTTAGTTCTAAGTTATGCATGCGAAGCACTGAAAAGAAGCAGTTTACACCTTTACAAATGTTGTTTTCGCAGATATGCCTGAAAGAAAATGACACGAGCAGACGCACTGGCAGCGGCGGCGGCGGATTCAGCCGGCAATGCTAAAGAGACACACGTTAGGGTATGCCGACTCGCTGCTACGGCACCTTCTATTTTCGGTGTTGGCAGCGATCGTAATCTATACCAGGCTCTCGATAACGCGTCTTTTTCAAGGCCGTGAGCTTTGTCATGCTGTGTGGGTAGTTTTCGATTGCGCCCAAGCGAGCCACCGCACCCGCTGATGCCTTGGCTCCCATCTTGAATGTACGGCTAGTTGTTTACATCACGCATTTCGTGAGCTTGCGCAGCCGGTATAGCCAAAGCCCTAGCAGTAAGGTGATCTGCTATTGCGTGGAGGCAAAATTGATCTCAGACTAATTATTTCGCGTCGGCCTCATGGTTTGGATCTTCCGACCACTTTCCCAGCGAGTGTTCCCTGCATTTGCTTCCTACGAGGCCAAGTGTGAATGGGCCTTCCTCCCACAGACAAGCCGTGTTGCGTCACTCGCGTGCAGCGGTCAATCGCGCGTTCGTATCATCCGCGGTTGCTGGAGAACCTGTTCGTATAAAACCGAATCATAGCGCATTTTATGTAATGTAGTCCATCGGAAGCCACCTTAAAATTCACACCATCACAAAATTCGCATCAACAATTATCATATCATCAAGATTCTACTGTAATATGATGTCAGATTGTACACACATCCCATTTTGTACAACGATCAGTGTAGAGTTTCGTAACCCATACTAAGAAAAAAACTAGTTGCATCCTCCAATTCCCTGTTACCTGGACTATTGGGGTCACTGTTTTCCTGTTTAAAGGGGCCCTGCAACACGTTTTGAGCATGGTCACAAAACGCTGCTGATCGGTAGTAGAGGCTCCCGACAACACACGAGCCAAATATTATAGCACAGCACGCGGCCTGGAATTCACAATAAATGACCAAAGTAAGCTAAAAGTTTCTTCTTCTTCTCTCGACAAATGGCGGAATATTCCCAAAAATCACACGTGAATTACCCATGTATCAGCCATTGGCTGATTTGAACATGGCGCGCTCGCTCGTTACAGAGATCGCCGCGGGAGGCCGCGACTTGTCCACGCATGCGCACGCGATCACACGGAAAAAGCGGCGCATTCAAATAAAAAAAAAAGTGCTCAAGGCCACGAGGCTCGTGTGACGTTTTTCTGTGGCCCTGCCATCCCTCCCTGCTTACCTTCCAGTGCATTCGTCAGGACGAGAGGAGAGAATGCAATTGCAGCATGCGTCAGACCTTTGTAACTCCATTCGCACTGGACGGATTCTAAAAATTTTTCGCGGCGTTGCATTTGTGAGGCAATAAGCTTTTCCAGTGAGTTCATTCCGTGGTTGCTTGAAAAAGCGTTTCAGGGCCCCTTTAAGCTTTTTATTGCTTTGTGTTTTTTTTTAATACAATACGCTATCCCATACAGTCTACTCCCATTAGTACGAAGCTCAGAGGAACCGCAAAAAAACTTTGAATTAAGCTAACTTTCAATTAAGCAAAATGCACACAAGCTGCACTTTTACCTCTTCAAACCTGACAGTTTCCTAGAAAAAAACTGTTGTTATCTTTTTTTGTGCTAACCCTAGCTGTGGCTAGCAAGTTTTCTAAGCATTACGCGCCGAAGTTCCTCTTCAGCATTGTCTTCTTCAACAACACATAAAAACCTCTGCACAAGAGAAAGACTCGCAGCAACATCGGTAGCCCTCGGTGATGGTTCTGTTCTGATGTCGTCGTCGTCCACTAACCGAACCATCTGCACAATTTTGCTGTCCGTTAGTGGGCCGCATGTGTCAACGTTGCTGTCTGTGGCGACGAATTCTTCAAAACGGACATCGTCAAGTTTATGCTTGCACTTGATGATATTCGAGAGCATGTTAGGCTTAACCCCGTACTTTCGTGCGATGTCTTGCTTTGCGGTCCCTCCCTGGTCAAATTTTTTCAATACTTCGAGTCACCAGATCAAGCATTCGCTAAGGGCTGCGAGTTGCCATCATCAAACATTGCCACCACAGCAGTCAGATGTGGAAACAAGTGTGAAATCAACCCAAAGTGCATTGGCGGGCTAGTTGGTTTATCATGCTAAGTTGGAACAGCACAACTGGACGCGGACGGAGCTGAACACGCAAACACACACTCAGCACTGAGCGTGTTTGCGTGTTCTTTTACGTTCGCATCCACTTGTGCTGTTCTAACTTAGTTGGAATCAACCTAGTTCGCCGATGCGATCAATGCCCCGGCGCTGACTAGACTGGATTGCCACTTCATACTGTGGCGCTGTGGGCAGTGGAGACGGCGATAACAGCGTGGCTCAACAATTGTCTTAATCCTTGAAAGATTCCCCATTTTATCCAAAATTACGGTCGTCTTGAGGCTCTCAACTGAAAAAGAACTTCTAATTAACCAATATTATGGGCTTTAATCTTTGAATTATTGAGCATTTCTTCTTATAGGCCTGCATGCAAAACTAATGGGACCATTTGTTGACTTCTAATTAAGCAACCATGAATTATCGGGAGTCGCCTTTACCAATACACATTGGTGCTTCATGTTTTATTTCAGAAAGCGGGACTTGCTGTTGACACCAAAGCTGTCGAAGCTTCTCTGCAGAATTTTGGCTTACTTGCAGACAAGGTTTGTGGCTATGTCATATAGAGAGCATTGTTGAGTGTGGTTATGTTATTTTTGTCACTACCTAAATGTCATCTTCTAGACTGCATGTCAAACGGCCCAAAGCTGGACGGCCAGCTTTGGGTCTTCCGGCAAGCCAAAAATGGCACCCGGTTCCAAGGACATTGAGCAGTCTCCTGAGGTACTGCCATGATAATCAACGGAGGGTTGAAAGGGACAGGGATTTATCCCCTCTTCTCCCATCTCACCCGAAAAAAAAACTGCCAGGCTTCAAATAAAGTTTATTCATTCATTCATTCACATAAACTGGTTTTGTAGGGGGTTTGTATTGATTGATGAGGTTTGTGTACCATAGCTATAATGGTTAAGGCTGCATGAGTTCTCTATTGGGGGCGAAGATTATCGTGGCGCCGCCATGCCTGTGACGTGCATGGTTGGATTTTGCCGCCTTTTTGCACATAGCCCACAGCCACTTTGGCATCTCCTTTTCTTATTATATTATTCTTTTTATACTTCGCTCAACGAAATCGGTAAAATACTGCTGCAGCTTTGTCACTGACCGTACAAAGTGCTAAATAACTGCTGTGGAAAAGTTTTATGTTTCTCATAATGCTCGACTTCCGGTGTCGTCTGCTATGGCCACCTATATGAAAACCATGGGGGCCAAGCGCGCTTTTTTTGATGGTAACAGCTGAGTCAGTGTCGAATTGAAGCATCAAATGGGCATTAGCGCGCGTTTACGGCTAAGAAATTAATTTTTGATGCAAGAAATGCTGCCAATCAGGCTACTTCATTCGTTGTAGGTTTGCATTAAAGATAAGTCGCGCTTGACACGACAAGCATGCGCAAATTTACATTTTTGTTTAGCACACACAGCCCTGTGAGGCACAGTGGAAGCGGATTTCCTGCTTCATGAATAAGCAACACAGCATTTTTACAGCTGCATGCAGCCTCAATCTTTCTGTTAATAGTTGTGGGCGAACGCCAGAGATGCACGCATACGCGTGCTGCATTCAGTGTTAGATAGATTGATATGTGTGGTTTAACATTGCAAAATCACCATATGATTATGAGAGACTCCGTAGTGGAGGGCTCCGGAAATTTTGACCATCTGGGGTTCTTTAACATGCACCCAAATCTGAGCACACGGGTCTATAACATTTCTGCCTCCATCGGAAATGCAGCCGCCCCAGCCGGGATTCGATCCTGCGACTTGAGGGTCAGCAGCCGAGTACCTTAGCCACTAGGCCACCGCGGCGGGGTACATTCAGCGTCTATAGGCAAAATTTCTCATGAGCAAAAGTTTCTCCGCGGCACGATTCTAATATTTATTGTGCAAATTTTCCATAGTTGTCACACCATGTGCATTTGATCGCCATCGAGCCATGCATGGGTGAAAATTATAAATGATAGGCTTGATTCCACAGCTTCTGCAAAGGGGTAAGTTGTGATAAAAAAAATTGCGTTCCCAACCGGACTAGATTACGATAGCAAATGCACTCTGGGCCTGCCAGCCGTATTATTTTGCACCATTGAATGAGCATGCCTGCCGCAAGGTCTTGCATATCGTCACCTAAAAGACAATTTTATGTTTTGGTAAAGATATCAGTGTCGAGCGTTCACAGGTTTATTCATAAGCTGTGTGTCATTTCACGGCAGCTGTTAAAAGATGAATCAGTTTTCGAAGCTTACCGCGTTTTCGCCTATAGATCAAGACAACAAGAGAAGAAGTGACAGTGCCTATAGGTCTGTTCTACTGACGTAATCTATAAAAAAGGAATCCTATGAGCTGAAGTCGCAAACGGGAAAAAAATTTCTGCATAGGCAGAAATTTTTTTCGGAGTGGGCAACGCCTTAATTAAAATGGAAGTCAGGCAGGCAGATGTGTTCAACCGTTATATTGTTCGCTATATGCCATGGGGAAAATTTTTAGAAAAGGGGGGGGGGGGGCACAGGCTTGGTGGGCTACCCCCTGGCTACGCCACCGGTGGGCGGAAACCCATGTGGTCGGGTACACAAATGGGGCTGATCACTCCGAGAGGAGTAGAGGGGTGGCGCAGACTGTGGTTAACGTTACCTTGGAAAGAGAACTCATTTTAGCAAAGACTGAAGTGGCACACGTACAATGTGAAAAAGACAGTTACGTCGAATACACTAGCCGAACACGTAGAAGTTTCCGGCCACGAAATAGACCGGAATATGGTAAAATTAACGAAATGAAGGGAAGAGAACTTAACTTCCGCGCTTCATCTTGACTCTGACGATTCGGACAATATTGCACATTCTTAAATGTAATGATGGCAACTTCGCCCACATGTAGGCTCGTACGTTGTGTTTTAAGATATACATAATCCGACTGTTTGCACATTCATTTTCTACTCTGAATGAGGCTCCCATGCGGAAATTGAAACGTTCGCCTTTCATGTGAACATTCGTAGTCTGTGATTATTTAAAAATCTATGGGCTTGAAAAAAAAAAAAAATTGGAGGACCCTAAAGCTTGGTTTTAGGAGTTGAGCACGATAGCGACATCTTGTTCCCAGTGCATACTTCTAAAACTTAGTGCATGAAGCCTTTTTGAGTTTGCTATGCACCCTCTACGTGGCCTTAAGAGGGAATATGTGCAGTAGAGAGTGTACTTTTTGTAGTGGGGTACCGGCTTTCAACCATGGAGCCAATTCGATAATAACATATTCTGACGCCCATTGGCAATGGACGCTTTCCCACGCACTATTACTGCAATATTTCATGTTGCATTGTGAAGCATATAGTATACAGGACGCGTGTGCTTGTGAAGCATGAAATCTACTTTCACTGCATTTCCAAGTAGAGGAAGTTCTTTTCACTATTTTCACAAGAAGAGGCGTGGCCGTGTGGTAGAACATCCGCTTGCCATGCCGACGACCCGGGTTCGATCCCCAGTTGAGCCCGAACGACTGTGGTTGGGTCCCAACTCTGCTACAGGATTCTTTATCATTTATTTATTTGATTTGCATTGTTCTTAATTTTTCTGTCAATCTTAAGATAATTTTTCGCTCACAACCAACGATGCCGATGCTGGAATGTCTGCAAAACAAGCCCCTTTAAGGAGAGACGTGGGTTCTAACATTTTTAAAAATGTTTTGCTCAATTTTAACCAAACTTCACTACCTTAACTAGTTTTTCATGTTGATTTCAAATCTCTAATTTGTTTCTTAATGTTTCAAGTGGTTTGGAAAATATGAAGGTCTGAATCATAATTAATTGCATACTTTTACGGGACTTCTTGACAATTTATTCTTGCTAAATCCAGAAAGTGACTGCATAATCCCAATTCTGGAGACTTGCTGTAGGGGGTGATGCTATTTTTATCCATTTGAAGGCATTTTATAAGCAAGAAAACAGACGAACACTTATGGTCACTATATTACAATAAATTTCGCTCACTAAAATCTTCAATGGTAATTTTTGATGTGATGCTAGAGAAATAGAAATAACTATCACCCCCTAGATCATGTAAAGACGAATAAAATGATACCAACTTTGTCGCATTCACTCAAGTTTAACATAGGAAGAACCCCCGTAAGGCTGAGTGCAATGTGCTAAAACATTGAACTGAGAAAAACTGTTTGAAGTTTCTAGCAACTTTAACTTTTGCTAACGTGAAGCTTCAGCGATATTAATGACATCATTCTGTAGCTCTATATTATAGGATAAATGGCCATGCTAAATTTCACTGTATCCACCCTGAATACTGCTCACAGCTTGTTCTAGAACTATAAAATAGTCATGGACTCAGCATGAGAATTATTATGTTTTTACTTTGTGGTCGTTCCAGTGCCTTGCAAGTGAAAGGAACACAAAAAAATCATGTAATAATGTTGTCCTTGGCTAGACTAATAGATTTACACAATGTTTAGGTCTAAAACCTAAATTTTTGCAAAAATTCTCACTATTTGCCATTCATGACTGTTTACAGCAGACCAGGGCTGTAAGCAGAGTCCCCTGCTGGCTTGTGACGCTTTGAAAGTCCTTCCTTTATTGAACTGCTGTGGAGGTGCTCTCTTCGTGATTTTCGCAGCCTGCCCTTGTCCTTTTCAAGGCTGCGGCCCACCAAGTTATTGCCAGCGCTGTAGCCCAGCTTCTCGGCGATTTCCACGTTGCTCTTGGTTGCGCCTTGGTTGAAGCGGCTGATGGCTTCGGCAACTGCCCTTTCAATGCTCCGCAAGGATGCATGCTGAGTTTTGGGGGCCTGCTGCCAAATCATAGCGTGCAGGCTCTCACTTGGGTTCTGGGTGATCCCATCGCTGCACCTTTCCAAGAGGGCATTGTTGCTCAGCCGCCTAAACACAGGCTCCAATGCCTCAGTTACGAAATCAGGCAGGCCTGTCCTTGTGTGGTGGCAGCTTCTCATTTTTCGCAAGAGCTCTCTGAAATTTGCACCAGGATTCAGGGCCTTCAAGGCAAAGGTCATGCTTTGGTGCCTCGTCAGTTAAAGACATGTGGTTCAAAGTTGCTAGAACAGCCTTCTGCATACCTGGAACATCGTTCCTGTGGCTTCTCAATGCGTAGCCATAGTATGAGGTGATCTTCTTTATCTTTTGTTGCGTAAGTCTGCCCTTTCCACCAAGTGAGCCACCTCGAGCTTTTTTTTTCTCTACAAGGGTACGTAAGGCAGCTCCCATACGCTTGTGTACATGATTTATGCAGTCCTTTTTGGCCACCTTTATGAAGCCGTACACCTCTTTTTCTGTGAGTGCATGGAATGTCCTGCTGTCGCCGTCCGACAGCATTGTCGTATAACGAAGCTTGTGCTTTTCAAGTGACCGCTCAAACAAGCGTAGTGCTGCCTCCACTTCCATCTGGCCAGCATTACAATCAACATTCTTCTGGCACAGAGGGGCATGCTGAATGAGCCAGGCAGAACGTCCTGCTTCTCCTTTCTTGGGTCCTGAGGTGCAAGCCAGGCAAAAGTTCGATAGCACGATATGGTCTATCGCGAGGCCACTATAGATCTCAACAATG